CTTGGGAAAAATTGATTGACCTATAAGGATATATATAAAATCGATGTTAATTAAACAAAACTTGCAGCAATTTTGACCCCCCTCCCCAAAACTATTTCAATTAAGTTTTTTATCCTTCATTGATTTTCTGATGTCGTCCCTTGTCCTCTCTATGTAAACCCAATTCATGTCCTGATAAATGGTGACTCATGCATAGCATCATATGTGGTTATTAAAACAAGAAAAGTATTCATATTATAATAATTAATGTATGCTAGGACTTATAGATAGATGTCATTAGTCCCAGGTCATGTAATAAAGTAGGTCTTATAAAAATACAATAGCATTTTAATTTTGATGATTATATATATATGTTAATATATTTAATAATGACATTTTTTTGGAAAAAAAGGGTAGGGGCAAGGCGTTTTTAAAACATATCAATGGGGCGCGTTTTTTTTTTTGTTCTTCGGAAGTGAGCCAGAAGAAGTCCATTTCTGTTTTTTTTTTGCATTGGGAAGATCTTCTGGCTCTCTTCCACCTCTTCTTTTTTGATAGGTTGACGGCAGAGGCACATAACAAACATGGCGTCGTTTAGTCTAAATGAAATTAATAAATTTATGAATGCAGATATATTGAATGTGAGCTGTTTTATAAACGTTTTTATGGTATGACAACCTTAGTAGGACATCCCTGTAGGACGATAAGCTGGATAAATATAAGATAAATATAAGAACTACACGGACAATAACAGTTAAGGGACGATTATTTGATATTCTAGGGAAGGGATTTTGATTGATTGGTGTTTAACGCTACTTTCAACACTATTGGGCTATTCCGTGGTGGTCAGTTTAAGTTCATAGATGAAGGATGGGGAAGGGAAGAGAGGGCATTATTATTCATTTCAATCTGTCGCTAATCATGCCTATTTTTCAGCTCTTACCAGGCAACCATATTCATATATGAAATCCTTCTGTCCCCCAACCCCAACAAATAAATAAATATCAAATGGTTTTCCTCTTATTTAACACAAGTTTAAATTGATTGATTGTTTGTTGCTAATTTTAACGCCTAGTGAAAATTATTTCATGCTTGTTCAGGAAAACACGAGTTTAGAAGTCACGTATATAATATAAAAATGAAGAGATGGAATATGATTGCTAATAAGGCAACTATCCACCGGAGTTCAAATATGAAGTGGATGTAAGCAATTATAGATAAGATAAGATAAGATAAGATAAGATAAGATAAGGTAAGAAAAATTTATTTTAAGTCGGGTTACATGAAATACTACAAACATAAGCTCTTTAGAGCTTTTTGCCGTCATGTAGACAAATGCTTTTTGTAGACAATCGTAAGGCCTTCAACAATGACAAAAACCTTATACTGTAAAGTCGTCTATAAAAGGCCCGACATGAAAAGTGTGAACAATTCAAACGAAAAAACTAACAGCCTAATTATACATAACAAAACAATTTACAAAATATCAAATATGAGTCGAGACAGGAACCAACGACAGCCACTTAACTACAGGCTCCATCCCTGGGACAGGCAAATAAAGAATATGGCAAGGTGGATATAAAAACGAAGATGTGGTATGATTGCAAATTAGACAACTCTCCACAAGAGATCAAATGACACAGAAATCAACAGCTATAAGTCACCGTACGGCCTTCGACAATAAGCAAAGCCTACACCGCATAGTCAGCTGTAAAAGACCCCGAAATCAAAAATGTAAAACAATTCAACCGAGAAAACTAACGACCGAATTAATGTACAAAAAAATGAACGAAACACAAATATGTATAACAAAGCAACAAACGGCAACCACTGAATTACAGGCTCCTGACTTGGGACAAGCACATACATACAGAATGTGGCGGGGTTAAACATGTTAGCGGGATCCCAATCCTCCCCCTAATCTGGGACAGCGGTGTAACAGTACAACAACATGTTTGTGAGCAACCCATCCCGAAGCTGGGACAGTGGTGTAACAGTACAATAAAATAACAACCTGCACAAATCAGCAAATTAACTCAAAAGATCGGTACGAGACACACACAAAAACTAACATTAAGACAATAGACACAAAGCACCGACATAAGAGTATTTGCAATTACTGGAAGTTTGCTCAAACCTAATTATAACTTGTACTGAAATAAATCTTGTTCTCCCAGACTGAGTTATCAATCAGTACACAACGCGCGGCAAAGGATTTATTAAAAAAAGAAAACAGTCTGAGAAACGTCTGGTTTACGTTGTATATAGATATAAGAAGATGTGGTATGAGTGCCGATGAGACAACTCTCATCCAAGTCATAATTTGAAAATGTAAACCATTAAAGGTCAACGTACGGTCTTCGACACGGAGCCTTGGCTCTCACCGAACAGCAAGCTATAAAGGACCCCCAAAAATTAGTAGTGTAAAACCATTCAAACGGGAAAACCAACGGTGTCTAATCTATTTAAAAAAACCGATATACTTGCATATAAATCCATATACAATGAAACGGTTTTTGAAAAGTGGACCGAACGTTTTGACCATCGAAATTTTGCAATAGAAATACTAGTTATGACCACAAGATTTTAAGAGCCAGTGCAGGACTCGCACGAACGTTAGATTTAGTTAGAGGGGCGATATTCTGACGCGTTTTTTAATTCTTGGTCACCCATGTTTAGAAAGAAAGGGGAGAAATCCAAACAATATCTGACCAATCACAAACGTTGTTGCAAATTTGACCTTATGACGTCAAAGAATTTCCCATAATGCAATTATTGCATATAAATAAAAAACTACTATACCAATTGAATAAAAAATATTGCATTCAAATGACATTTTATACCAATTGAATAAAAACTATTGCATTTGAATGAAAATTATACCATTTGCATGAAAAATTATACCATTTGAATGAAAAATTATACCATTTAAATGAAAAATTATACCATTTGAATAAAAAATATTGCATTTAAATGAAAAAATATACCATTCAAATAAAAAAATATTGCATTTAAATGAAGAAATATACCAATTAAATAAGAAATATTGCATTAAAATGAAAAATATCAAATTTTTGCAACCAATACCATGCCATAGTTAGCCCTGTATAACCACGTATTATCCGATGGAGAATGTCTGTCATAAAGTTGTCACATGTTTAGACGTGTATATATATACATTTGACGGATACATTGTTACCAAACTTTGGTTGATCAACGATATATTTATGATATAAAATAAGAAGATGTGTTATGATTGCTAATGATTCTCATTTTAGTTCCATCAGTTTGCAAACTCTTTATTCTGCATGGCCCTGAATTTTTATGATTTCAAAAATTCCTGAAAAAAATAAAGCGATGTTTAAATCATCTAGTTTCAGTGAATACTTACATCTCGTTTATCCTAGAGGATTTGCAATAAGAAAACTACAGAACAAAACATGTTTCTCATTCAGATTGTTAATGATCGACAAGTTAAAAAAAAAAGAATGATTTTCATACGAACGTGATGATTTTAATGTTTCTATTGTCATTGGTCAATTATCGGTTGATTTAGGGAAAATGTATCAAGTTTATGATTGTTGTGAACTCAGGCTATGAAAACGAACAGAATTGCCTGTTTAGCTCTTATGACCCAAAGTGTCAATGTGAGCTTTTTCAATATTAATTGACTTATTGTATGAGTAAGTGTCCCTGAATGACAATCATTGTTATGTTTTTGCTTAAACTATAGTGGATGTAGACGGAAACTAAGAAACATAAATGATCAGCAGGACAAGATCTCTAAATCAGTCAACATGGCAAAAATGTTTTGTTCACTCCTTATAGGAGTTATTGTCTTCATTTGGTGTTTTTTTTTTTGCGTCAACTAAAGTAGATGGAGAGAGACTATAAATAAGTAAACAATTCTGAAGCCATTAGTCAACTCCTAAAAAGGAGTTGTATCCCTTAAAGGATGTAACCTTTTTTTGCGTTTTTTCTGGAAACTATTGAAAATGCTCTCATTGCATTGTATGAATTTAATGCAAATGAGACAAGTGAGCGATACAAGAGCCTATAGTTTTTTAAAATTGCAATAGAGGATAAAAGGTTTTTTTTTAATCGATGCAACATGTATTGATAAATATACTTTTCAAAATAAATATGAACGTTTTAAATTCCCCATGCAGTCTAAAACAATCCCAATTTTATCAGCATTATAAACAGAGTAAACAAATAATTCTTTTGTCTCATATGAAAAAGTGTTACTCCAGAAACACACCGTAATTATTAATCCAGATTTGAATCTTGCATGTTTTTGTCGAGCCTTCGACTTTTGTCGAAAAAGCGAGACATAGCGATCCTACATTCTGTCGGCGTCGTCGTCGGCGGCGTCCACAAATATTCACTCTGTGGTTAAAGTTTTTGAAATTTTAATAACTTTCTTAAACTATCCTGGATTTCTACCAAACTTGGACAGAAGCTTGTTTATGATCATAAGATTATATTTAAAAGTAAATTTTGTAAAAAATAAAAATCCATTTTTTCCGTATTTTACTTATAAATGGACTTAGTTTTTCTGCCAGGAAACATTACATTCACTCTGTGGTTAAAGTTTTTGAAATTTTAATAACTTTCTTAAACTATCCTGGATTTCTACCAAACTTGGAAAGAAGCTTGTTTATGATCATAAGATAGTATCCAGAAGTAAATTTTGATAAAATTTTGTTCCATTTTTTCCGTATTTTACTTATAAATGGACCTAGTTTTTCTTCCAGTTAACTTTACATACAGTCTGCAGTTAAAGTTTTAAAAACATTTATTAGATTCAAAAACCATCCTGGATTTTTACCAAACTTGGACAGAAGCTACTTACAATCAAAAGATAGTATTGAGAGGAATATTTTTATTAATTTTTTTCCTCATTTTTGTTGAGCCTGCGATTAACAGCAAAAGTAGGCGAGACACTGGGTTCCGGAACCCTGACGAATTTTTATATATTACGACGGCATATGCCTCAAATGTAGATACAAACTTTAAAATCTGCGATGCAATCTCAGAACTCTGTAGAGCAACGTTCTAGCGTAATTGTCTTAACGTCAGATTTATTTCCTTAGCAACAGATATAATGGAGGTTACGTGAAGTCACCGACCGCAATTATATGATAGACATCAACACTTTGAGACTTTGATGACTAATAATACACTGTTCATTCACAATGTCGTCGGTAAATTTGCCGCCAATTAAGAACCATGTTAAATTCACTAAATCCACCAAATCATTCTCAGCTCTTGATACTGAGAACGTTAGTAAAAGTAGACGGAAATCAGGAGTAAAGAAAAGCAAAGAATTTGATCCCGATAAAATTGCAGCAGAAGTTCGGTATGCGGAACTGCAATCAATATTTGGTAATGCAGAAGATGGTTTAAACATAAAAGAGTTTAAAAGAGCAATGAGGGACACTCTCGGTAACAAAATGACGGATGATGAAATTGAGCTTCTCTTCATGAAGGTAGATGCTAATTGTGACGGAGTGGTTGATTGGGAGGAATATGTAACATATAATCTATTAGAATATCAAGGGAAGTTACTGATGAAAGAAATGATGAAAGAAATACCTTTTCCCCACGAACTCAAAGAAATTCCGAGTCGTCACCGAGAGGTAATTGTTTCGATTCTATTTTACCCGAACGTGCGGAGACGAGACGGTCGCTGTTATATAGACCATACAAATGGTAGGTATGTTACGATCAGCAAGGAGGGACTTTTGTCAATTTGGAACGTGCATATGAAGTTTGTCACAAGCTATAATACAATATCGGAGATTGGAGAGAGAGCAACACAGCCATGGTTGATCGATTTGGCGTGCATTTACAATGTAGGAATGGTAGCAATTTCGTCAACAGACCGTGACATTACTGTTTTTGATCTAAAAGGAAACAATTTTAGGAAAAAATATCATCTGATAGGACTGGATGACTGTATAACGTGCATGCATTACTGGGTAGACTTAAATGATATGAACGAATCAAAACTCCTTTGGGGAGACACGTCGGGAAGCGTTTGTGTAATTGTATTCAAGCAATGCCTTCGTGGAGGCCTGTTTGGTTCCTTTGGTGTGAAAAAAGGTGGATTTAAAAGAATTAGCTTGCCTGAAGTTATAAGAGGTTTCTACAAAGGTGCTAGAGGATATAGATTCAACCGAGTACATACTGATTGGGTGTTGCGATTAAGGTATATTCCAGAATTGACCTCCTTCTTGTCTTGCAGTCAAGCTTCCGAAAACTCACTTTGCTTGTACGAATTCGTAAAGAAAAAGACGAACTCAACCTTTAAGATCAATAAGGGAGTCCTTTGTTTTGATTACTGTCCAGGAAATAACATCATTGTTACTGGTGGCATGGATTACTGTATCCGAGCATGGAATCCACAAGTTAATGCAAAGTCTATGTATGTGTTGAAAGGATACACGAAGCCAATTAATCAAGTTGTCATTAATTCCCGAAAAGGCCAGATCATTGGTATTGACAAAAAACGTACTATACGAGTATTCGATATGAAAGACCAATCATGTCTTCAGCATGTTAGTGGTAGAGTAGTCAAACTTGGAAAAACTCCATTGTCAGCGGTTTACTTAAACCCAGTCTTACAAACATTAATCCTAGCTACAAATCAACTTGCCGTGCTTCAGAAATCTAACGAGGATGAAAGGGTTGCAGAAATCGAGTCCCATACCAAACCAGTGGTTTGTGTTCTATATAACAAACTCTTCAAATTCGTAGTTAGTGCTTGTCAGGATTCCGTGATCAGTGTTTGGGATCTGTATACTGGAGAAAAAATTATACATGCTGCCAATGCACATGTTCGTGAGCAGAAGGGCATCGTAGTACCGGTAGAAATAACAGCAATGGCATTTGATGGTCCACTACGGCGTGTTATCACTGGGGCTATGGACGGTAGTATCAAAGTATGGAATTTTAATAATGGAAGTTGCCTGCAGACATTTAACACTCCGGATGGATTAGAAATAACCGGCATAGTTAGTATCAATCATCGAATATTTGCCACTGGTTGGTCGAGGAAGATGCATATTTACATTGATGGCAGAGGAGAGGAGCATCGAAAAGATTGGAGGCAGAAACACAACGAAGATATCTTGTGCATGTCTTATTTAAGTCCCAATATCATCGCAACTGGTGCTTACGATGGCGATGTGGTTGTGTGGTCACGTGACACTGGACACGTTTACTGTATCCTAAATGCAGGAAAGGGGATAAAGCCAATTGGAGATACCAAAACCAAGAATAGAGATGGCAGACCAGACACAACCCAAAGCGGAAAATCAGAAGCTAAATCAAGTGAAGTAAGTTTTTCGTCTAATATATTTGAGAATCTTGCTTCAGAAGAAATGATGAAAAAGAGAGTAAGAAAAGCGAGTTTTTTACATAAAAACAAAGACATGCTAAACAGAGTTAAAGGAAACGTCTTAATGAAAGACAACAAGTGGTCTCAGAAAATCGGTCGCTTAGATGATACACCAGTAGAACATCCGTTACTCCCATTGTATAGGAACCAAGAAGATTCACCCGTAGATGGAACTAACCAGAAACCTCCGAGTAGGGCCTTGAGTAGACGAGAAGATTATGACGAACTTTGTAAAATGTATGAGTCGTCTATTGAATGCATCTTATTTTTAGAATCTCGTGATAGAGAAAGCGGGGAAACAGCCATCTTAATTACGAGCGGAGCAGAAGGATGGATTCGTGCGTGGTCAATTTACCACCCAGGAGGCCTTTTAGGTCAATTTAATGCTGCACATAAAGTAGGAGAAGGTGTACATACAATGTGTACTGATGAAAAAAATAATTTTTTATTCACAGCAGATAGCTGTGGATACGTTAAAACGTGGGATTTGTCAGAATATTGCACAAAGAAAGTGCTTACCAAGGCACAAAGGGCAAAGCGATGGAAATATCTTAATGAGACGTTCAAATTTGTAAAATTTTCATATTGTTATGAGCAGCCACCGGAAATCCTTATCTCTTCAAACAAAATGCCATCCAACATCAACAACAGACCACCACCAGCATCTTCGTTGCCAAAGATAACACTTAAATGGCCCTTTCTAGTGAACTCATATCGGGCACACACAAAAATAATCAACAAAATAGAATATGTTGAAGGCGATAAGCTTCTAATAACTGCAAGTAGCGATTGTGCCATTCGACTTTGGACCATGAATGGACTTTATATAGGTACGTTTGGTGAAACCTGGGAATCGATTCCAAATATATTAAATCTGATGCCTACAACAAAAATCCGTATTCCATCTGATTTGCGTCGATCAGGTTCGGCCAGTACTTTAAAGGTATTAAACGGAGGACGTTCAGGATTATGGCAGAAAGCACTGGATGGGGCAAAGAAAATTATCCGTGATAAAGCCGAAGAAGCGGAGTTTGAACAAAAAGTACAAGATGATCAGTCACCTGAAACCAAATCACCATGTGATGACGGTGATGGTCCGGAAACTGCAAGGCCAATCCCAGCTAGCCGTCCAAAACCCCCCAAAACCGGTGGTGTTTGCAGCGACATACTGGGAAAATCATACAAAAAGACAATGAGACACAAGATGCCGCCTAAAATGGACAAGTTTGTTGAAATTAATTCATCGGTGAGTAACTTTTGACATTGATGTGCATGCGTCGTCAAAATGATTAAAATACTAGTCACATGATACTAGTTACGAGTAGTATACAAATACTTGTAAATGAAAAAGTAAGGCATACATAGAGGTTTTAGCAGTATGTAGATCCAGTTGTAACGGCCTTAATCCCGAGTCTGAACCGATCGCTATTAATTCTATAAACAATAGCTGAATACATTTTGTCTAATTATTTCAGCAAGATTAATAAGAATATAATAAATGTGTACACTAATGGGTAATAATAGATTTTAAGCATTCTGATTGAAATTCAGACCTAAAGGCTATATTAACTCGCTTGCTAGTATACATATAACGAAATCTACTATATAACAATATACCGGTACATGTATTATGTCAATGATAGATAAAACGTACGGAACATATACCTTTATAATATCTCAATTGAAAAACTAAATATGAATAGTTATATGTTCGCTGCCAAATTTCAAAATAAATTTGTTCTAAAGGTTTTGTTAACAGAGAAATGTATTATGCATAAAAAAAATAAAGATAATATGTCCAGTTGCGTATTCTCTGAGATATACAGGCTGTCTAGATTTTGCAAATTGAAATGTCAACTTCTGAAGCAATGTTGTCTTCTCCGAACTTTCCTTCGGTAATCTCTATTTTATTTTGCGATTTGCAAAGATCTCAGCACACTCTACAACTAGTATACATAAATACTAATCATATTAAAATAAAAAAATAACAATGCAGTGTGAAATTGTACCGACACCCCTCAACCATGCACTATTTTCAATATTGAAGTTAAACTTATTTATCAGGTCTCTTTTTTCTGCTTTAATAGATTGCTGTTTATCGTTGCCTGCCATTCTCAGAACTTAACGTGGACAATGATCCAGAACAAATGAAACGTATAGATGAATTAAGAACACTTTATTTTGGTGGATCTCTTCTGTCTAGAATGAAAGGAAATTTATATGCTCGCAATCGAGAGAAAGGACCTGCTTTTGCTGGTTTATACAACAAAATTACACAGCGGCAACCTTTACCGAAAGGTAAAAACCAAGCTGGAAGAATCAAACGAGCACAGAATACAGTAAAAAAGACACCAGCATCTTTCTTTGACAGCCTCACTATTAAAGAATACAAACATGAAACTGATACAATAGACAAAATACTCAAGGACTGAACATTGTAAAATTATACGTCTCTTGAAGGTGTATTAAACAATATGATACTACAATTTAGAAAAATATTAAACTGAAGATTATTGTGTACTATAGTATGATGGCAGTGAATTAAGAGATTAGTATATGTTTAAAATGTGTAACAAATGAAAATAAACGTTAATATGTATATATACAGAACACCGTTAGATAATTTGTTTGATTTTATAGCCAATCTGATCATGATCTGCTTCAATGTCATCACTTGTCTGGATCAGCTGATACTAAATGTTTGTTCAGTAACAAATATTACATGTATACTCGATACGAGAACCATTTATGCGGTAATAAATAGTAGTTTCTGAAAAGTCGGCGGACAGGGATTTTGATGTTGGGTTGTGTCAGATTTTTTGTTGCATGCGATAATAAAGGGCTGCATGGATGATACATAAATGAAGGATCTCTTTCATTTTATAAATTGTTTGCACGCTAAATACTACAACGTGTAGAACTGCGTCTGAAAAATGATAATGGTTATTTCATAGAATATATATAGAATATGGAAACGGGCCGGAATGTGTCCCTAACAACCCACCCGAATAGCAGAACACAGCCAAAGGCCATCAATTGGTCTTCAACGCAGCGAGAAAATACCGCATCCGGAGGCGTGCTTCAGCTGGCCCTTAAACAATAATGTATACTAGTTCAGCGAAATGGACGCCTTACTAAACTCAAAAACATACAAATGAACCAAAATTTAAAAAAAAACCACCAGACCAACAAAGGGTAGAAGTTCCTGACTTGGGACAGGCGCAAAAAATGCGGCGGGTTAAACATGTTTTTCTAGCTCCCATCCTCCCCTATACCTCTAGCCAATGTGGAATAAACAAACCCACAGCAATACGCACAATTAAATTCAGTTTAAAAGAAGTCCGAGTCCGATGTTAGAATAGGTAACAGAAGAAACTAAGCAAAATGACAATGATCAACACACATAAACAAAGAACTACTAGCAGTTACTGACATTCCAGATCCAGACCTCAATTAAACTGATTGAAAGACATGAAAATCAACCACAATTTCTTTCGTTAGGGGTTTAGTATCTTGCCATCATAAATTATACGAGAAAAACATAACATGCATCTACATGTCAACAACTGGTTTTAGAATAAATGTGTTTATTTCCGAATCAAAGATCCTATGAGTGAATCAATATTAATTTAAAAAATGCCAGTATTGTAACTTTATCCCTTGTGAATAAGTCTGTTAAAGGTTTGGTAAGCTTTTGAGGTGAATGACGTCATTTTTGTGCTTTGTATAGAACATTACCAAAAAAGATGGGATGTGAAATACCTGAACGTATATGATGTCTACACGTTGATTAATATTTACGAATAATGTTCTTGTACCGATTTAGTAAAATTTTTGACAAGTTTGTGATAATGAAACCCTGGTGTGATAATGTTTCAGTAATACAGAGGTTTCTTTCGTTAAAATCAAATACGTTGTTACATACACGAGCGAATCGAACAAGTTGAGTTATATAAACACCATATGATGGTGCCAAGAGAACTTCGCCATCTAAAAACGGATAATTAACAATAGGAATGAAAAATCATCTTTTTGTTGTAAATTTTAGTATTAAGCTTCCCGTTAGAAATATATGGATATCAAGATCCGGGAAAGGACAGTGTTCGTTGTTAGTATTAGCTTTATCTAATGTAACGGGGCTATTTACATAAAGTCATGACAAAACACTACAATTTTTGTCCGATTTTGTTGGATTTTTCATTACCAAATCATTGGTACAGGTTGAGTTAATTTCTGCGATCTCTCATTTACTGTTCAATATCTGCATTTTGTCGTATTGAAAATTGGGATGGTGAACGTTTCCGGATGATACTTACCATTACATTACTTGAATATATCGTTTTTAGCTCACTTGGTGTCCGTCGTCACATTAAAATTTTACAAAAATCTTTTGATCTGAAACCACCGAGGCACTGAACCAAGTCCAACCAAACTTTATCTTAAGGTATCTAGTATAAAGTGTGTGTTTTTGCCAACAAGGCCGCCATGGCCAAAAATAGAACATATGGGTAAAATGTATTTATTTTCTTTAAATATGTCTTGAAAACCTTAATGGTTAGAGAAAATATAACATAGCAAATATTTTCAGAATGTCAAAATCTACCTCTTTTCCATTTCAACCAAAGATATTAGATCATGGTAGAGTTCGTGTGATGAGAAATGGTACTATGGTAATAAAGAAATTGAAGTTGTTGATAATTTTACCTACCTTTGTGTGCTTTTAAATTGTAATGGCAAATATGATATGTTACAACAGAAACTGTCGGAACAAGGTAGAAAAGCAATATTTGCTTTAAGAAGAAATATCTAAAGTATGCATTTAAACTATGTCACTTTGTTATTACTTTTTGATACTTACATCAATTCTTTATTGAGTTATGCAAGTGAAATATGCGGTGCACACAAAGCCCCGGCTATAGAGAGAGTTCACTTGAACTATTGTAAGACTGATACTTGGTGTAAAATGTAAAAGATAAAAACAGCAAAACAAAATCTACAAAACTGCCAATATTACCGAAACTATTGGAAGAGTTCTTATAGGTGTTATAGTTAATGCTTGCATAATCATCGTTGACATTTCTTCGCTGTTCAAAATTCAAAAAGCGTTTTTCATTCAAGTTGTAATTAATGTGTTATTTTGTATATATATACATATATACAAGACTCTGATTGTATATATTTTATTTTATCTTAATTTCACATGCACCTGTCTGTTAGAAAATACTCTATATACCTTTACAAGTTAATTTATTGTATATATGTATAGTTTGTTATATGTCTCTGGTTATAGACACAAGTGCGTGTGCTCGGCATTTCAGAATTGCCAGACATTTGACCCAAATTTAGGACATTTAGTTAAGTATAATCAAAAAGAAAAAAAAAGAAATATATGCTTCCATCTGAAAGCGGTGGATATCCTTTTTAAAGATATTACTTGTTTGTAAAATACCGCAATGGCGTAGATATCAACGAACAGTTTACTATATCCCCCTTTTCGAGGTCGCACATTCTCTCTGATGATGCATTATATCACATTAGTCTGTTTCCCGAAACTACGTTAAAAGGAAAAGAATTACTACAGTCACTCACTTAACCTTTTTTTCGACTTTTCCGGAATATCATACCACAATCCGTCTGATTTTGATATTATTAATCATTTTGGCGGGGAAATTGCAAAATGTAAACACAACACATTGTCAGTTACAGAAGCTTATAAGTTAACATAATTTTAGTTTTCTCTCAGCTTCTCGGAAGTATAATGTCAGTCACCACAAACAATTTTTATGGAGCCAAAGGAAAGAGGTATACAGACGAATCTGGTTAATCCGCCCTCCAAATTTCAACGTACAAGTGTATATAATTTTGTTCCGCCTAACACACAGGGGCTTGTTTAGTAAATTTATATTTTATATAGGATAGCGACAACCATTAGCCTCATCTGACCTATGAAACAAGCCCCTGTGCCTAACAGTAGCATGAGTAGTTCTAGGCTTTATATCAACTATTTTTTAGTTCTTTTTTAAATTATATAAATTTATTGACTTAAACAAATTTTTGTCAACAACTTGAACCTTTGACAAACATTTGCGGCTTTATATTGTTTGGCGATGTCGTCGTCACCACCCAAAGACATTTGGTTTCCAGACAATAACTTCATTATACATTGGTATGTAAGTGTATGAATCTATATGAAATTGTACCACAAGGTTCCATACCACAAAAGGAAGGTTGGGATTGATTTGATGGTTGTAGCCCTTACCGTTTTAGAATTTTGGGCCTATAAAGGGGCCAAAAGCAAACATTTTTCTGGTTTCTGGACAATAAATTGAGTATAAGTGTATGGATTTGTATGAAATTGAAATTGCACTACAAGTTTCAATATCACAATAGGAAGGTTAGATTGAATTTGGGGGTTATGGCCATATCAACATAGGAATAAGGGGCCAAAAAGGGGTAAAAAACAAGCAATTTTCAAAAAGCTTTGTTTGAATTGCTTATGTCTGACCAATTTCAATGGGGTTTGAATAATCTTGAAATATTGGGGTTCTCTTGATATATGCTTGATATAACCATGTATTTAGAATTTTGATTTTGGGTCATGTTTTCAAGTGGGTCAAAATTAAGGTGAAAAATTAAAGTTTGATTGATTTCGATTTGCTGAATCTAATAATGTACTTGGATTTTGGGCCCATATAAAACAATTGCAGACGCGTAAACATAATAAAATTCGTAAGGGTTCCGCGGAACCCAGTGTCTCGCCTACTTTTTCTGTTAATCACAGGCTCAACAAAAATGAGTAAATCAATAAAAATATTCCTCTTGATACTATCTTTTGATTGTAAGAAACTTCTGTCCAAGTTTGGTAAAAAATCCAGGATAGTTTATAAATCTAATATATGTTTAAAAACTTTAACTGCAGACTGAATGTAATGTTAACTGGAAGAAAACAAAATTTCCTTCTAGATACTAGCATTTGATCATAAACAAGCTTCTGTCCAAGTTTGGTACAAATCCAAAATAGTATAAGAAAGTTATTAAAATTTTAAAAACTTTAACCACAGAGTGAATATGTTGTTTCCTGGCAGAAAATCTAATCCATTTAAAAGTAAAATACAGAAAAAATGGATTTACTTTTTTACAAAATTTCTTTCTAGATACTAGCTTTTGATCATAAACAAGCTTTTCAATTTGGTACAAATCCAAAATAGTATAAGAAAGTTATTAAAATTTTAAAAACTTTAACCACAGAGTGAATATGTTGTTTCCTGGCAGAAAATCTAATCCATTTAAAAGTAAAATACAGAAAAAATGGATTTACTTTTTTACAAAATTTCTTTCTAGATACTAGCTTTTGATCATAAACAAGCTTTTCAATTTGGTACAAATCCAAAATAGTATAAGAAAGTTATTAAAATTTTAAAAACTTTAAACACAGAGTGAATGTGTTGTTTCCTGGCAGAAAATCTAAGTCCATTTATAAGTAAAATACGGAAAAAATGGAATTTTATTTTTACAAAATTTACTTCTGGATACTATCTTATGATCATAAACAAGCTTCTGTCCAAGTTTGGTAGAAATCCAGGATAGTTTAAGAAAGTTGTTAAAATTTCAAAAACTTTAACCACAGAGTGAATATTTGTGGACGCCGCCGCCGCCGACGACGGAATGTAGGATCGCTATGTCTCGTTTTTTCGACTAAAGTCTTAAAACAATTGTTGATTTTTAATCTGGATTGCCCATGAAGGCCATACAGCTTATTTCCAATGGGGTCCATTTATGTTGCATTCTTAAAAATATTCAAATAAAGTTATAAGAAATCATGTCTTGGAATTGTGCTGGGCTTCACCAATGTCGCAAATTGTGATTTTTTTATTTCATCTGGCGACATTTCTGGCGCCAACATTTCGACCAGCAGGGCATTTTACATTCTACATGTATATGTAGTAAAATTGATGGTAATTTTGTATTGTATGATTGATATTGTGCTAGACATGTATAGTATGCATTTCTGTGGTCTAGTTATTTTTTTTTTGACAAACATGATGGCTTTGTATGGAATAGAGCTTAAATCTTTTTAATTGTAAAGTAAAAAATTCATCAGTTTTCTCCTTGCTGCTAAATGAGAACAAATGGCACTTCATCATGTTCATCTTGAGCTCAAGTCTGAAAGAGAATTTAAGAAAATTTATTTTTTGACTGATTGTTTCATTGGGTGTGCATATGTTGTTGAAGTTTTATTAGTTTATCTCTGAGGACTTCATCTTTTTTATATCATAAATCCAACTTCAGAAGCAAGTATTAGGCTCTCTGAAATTTCCCAAAGTCCTGCTTTTAACACATTGATTGCAGAGTAAATGAGCTTCTGTCCTTGCTTGGAAGTTGACCATAAAGCTACTACATAAATTAAACAAATCCAAATGTTTATATGTTTTTTAAGTTACTGAACAGACAATAATAACAAAAACATTCAATGCATTTTACTGGATTTAAAATGTCAAACTTAAAAGCTATTTTTTGTCTTTTTTGGTGAAAATAGTGATTGTAAAAGTAAAACTCAATTAAATATTAATTTAATATTCAAAGTGTTGCACTGTATGATTTTTGCCTCGCCTGTGACAAAAGTCTCAGAATGCAAGACATATGGATTTCAATTTGGCAGGAGCAGCATTAATTATTTGTATTAAGCTTTATATTTAAGAGGTTTATAGACATGGAGGCTTCACACTTTGTAGATAGATGCCTTATGTTACAAAGTTTCCATCTGTCATATGTCTTTGACCTCATATTCATGGTTCAGCAACTGCTTAAAAAAAGTTTTTTTGTTTTGTTTTGTGAAATTCTCACTTACATGTATTATGAGTAATAGAATAACTATATTTGATATATGGGTTCCTTGCAAGGTCTACATATCTGTCAGACAGGATTCACTTGACCTCAAACTCATTTCATGGATCAGTGATCAATGTTATAGTTACATGATTATGCCCTTTTCTCAGATACTGTAAGCAGTAGGCCAACTATATTTTGTGTATGGAATGATTGTATAGTGTATGTGTCAGTCTAGCAGGTTTCATCTGACCTTGACAGTAACAGTTGACTTCATTTTCATGGTTCAGTGGTCAATGTTAAGTTTTTGTGTTTTGGTCTGTTTTTCTAATACTATAAGTAATAGGTAAACTATATTTGGTGTATGGAATGATTGTAAGGTGTACATGTCTGTCTGGCAAGTATCATCTGTCCTTGACCTCCTTTTCATGGTTCATTGGTCAATGATAAGTTTTCCTGTTTGTCTGTTTCTCAGGTACTATAACCAATAAGGTCAACTACATGTATATACATGACGTATGGAATGATTGTAAGGTGTACATGTCTGTCTGGCAGGTTTCATCTGACCTTGACCTCACTTTAATGGTTCATTGGTCAATATTTAGTTTTCATTGTTTGGTCAGTTTCTTGAATACTATTAACAATAGGTCAACTATATTTGGTGTATGTAATGATTGTACATGTCTGTCTGGCTTGGTTTATCTGACCTTGACTCATTTTCATGGATCATTGATAATGTTAAGTTTATGTGATACTTGTAGTAAAACTTTATTTTTAGGACTATCGAGTAAAAAATAAATCATGAACAATAAAGTAAGCAAGACATTTTAGCATGTGCACTCATGATTTTTTTAATAAACCCCAATTTTAATTAGTCTGTAGGTTCACCGTATAATGACTATAAAGGCTAGAAGTTCCCCTGGAAACTTTGTTATAAACAATGCCATACTATTCGTTCATGTTTTTTATACCCTTTAGTCTATTCTGAATAAATACTGTAATATTTGTTACAGGGTGTTGTAAACGTAGAATTCCGAGCGTTCATAATTTATAACTAAACACCATCTTTGTAGAAAATAACAGTCACGATTTATTCACACTGCATGTATTATACAGACGTTACATAAAATACAAAACACACGGCATACACTCCGACATTTCAAACCATTTCAGCTATCTTGTTCATTCGTCAACACATCTATCCCCTCTCACGTCACTATCATACAACGTCAAAATACGGGAAAACAACGTTAACACCTTACTGCGTAATCACGGACATGTAGACAAAGTCACAGTCACAACACTACTCCCTCTTTTCAAGAATATTTCGTCCTCGAAATAAAAGATAAATCAAGACAAATTGCGTTTTCGTGTTTTCCAGTTCATCTCAGGTAACATAGACGATCCACCGGAGCATACATCATGTTTATAACTGTTTTCATAGACATTGCTATCTCTGAATTGCGTGAACTCATTTTCACATACACGTTCTTTATATGGGAAGTCCTTTCTATATACTGGTGTCGATAATCCAGTATATGTTGAAACTCTAGGTACTTTATTTTTGATCGCATCAATACTGTTAGACGTATCAAACAGAATGTCACTTTGTTCAAAGGGTGACCAATTTCGGACGTTAACTGCCTCTACTGCACCAGTGATTACTGTCTGCTGTTCAACGTTCGAACGTTCCAAATTAGTTTTCTCTAGCTCCAAAACTTGTGCAACTTCTACTTCAGTTGCTTCAACAATGTCACTAAATACCTGACATTTCAATTCAAACTTTCTAACGCTAACAACGTCTGTTCCACCAGTAATCACTGCTGGCTGTTCAACGCGCGGAAGTTCCAAGGTAGCTATCTCTTCGTCCGAAACTTTTGCAACTTCAACTTCAGTTGCCTCAAAAACGTCACAAAGTTCTTCATATTTCAATTCATATGACTCAACAATGCAATAAACAGACTGTTCACTCGGATACACAGAATTATTACATACATATAATTTACCAACAGTACATTTGTCTTCTTCCAATTTCTGGTTATATAAACTATTGTCATTTATATCAAAGTCAGTATTTTTGGAAACTTTCTTCGTCCCAATATCATACTCTTTGAAATTAATTTTACGCTTAGTGCCTATTTCAGAATTTTTCTCAAAGTCACTGTCGCCGGTGCAACGCGATTTTACTACTAACTTTAAATTTTGTCTGCAGTGTTCCTGCCACAATATTTCTTTGATAAGTTCACTAACTGTTGACGGTTCTTTAGTCAGAACTCTATATCCAATATCACCATCAGGGTATCCATACATAGCATACTCAGTAATCAGCTTCACTAATAAATCATCGTTCACACCAGGGAACGATTTTTGAACATTTATCTCAATTCTACATACGTACTCTTGAACACTTTCACGTTCAAACATAGCTATATTTCTCAATTTCATTCTACAGATCTGAGCCGTCTCAATATCACCAAATCTACATTTCAATGCAGAATACAAAACAGATACATTATAAAGATCTCCACGTGGTAAATACGATACACATTCTAAAGCTTTACCTCTCAGTGAAGTAACCAAATAGAAAGCCATATCACTAGGTGACAAATTAAAACGTTCGGCTAAAATAGAAAATTTCATCCAGAAACCTTCAAAAAGTTCAGAACCGTCAAACTCTGGTAAGTCACACAGGCTCATGGTTATTATATATTAAAATGAAATGCTGACAAATATAATTTATAGACACATAAAACAACAAATAATTATATTTGAAGGAGACAATTTTGCTTTCTTTCCAATTTGCACCTTAGATTATTATTTTATCCTTGATGCTAACACCGAACAAAAATGTTTGATTCATTTCCGTCCACTTTTGCCGACTAGATACTTCTCTGAACATTCTGTGGTCGAATCTGTTACAATTCCAATATCAGTTTTAAAATGGTGAATTTTAATTTTGATTACTGTAAAGTATTCCAGTGCCGTATCGTCCTTCTGTTGTACAGTATACATTTGGTCAAAATCGTACGGTCTAAAAAATTTGTTTACGGTACCTTCAGTGTTAAAATTCATATTTCCTCCCCTCTTTAAAAGCATTCCGTCTGTATAAAGAAATAAATCATGTGTCCGCGTAGATCCGTTTCTTTTCGCTGCCACCAATGTTGTAAACGTAGAATTCCGAGCGTTCATAATTTATAAATAAACACCATCTTTGTAGAAAATAACAGTCACGATTTATTCACACTGCATGTATTATACAGACGTTACATAAAATACAAAACACACGGCATACACTGGACACTTCAAACCATTCAGGTATCTTGTTCATTCGTCAACACATCTATCCCCTCTCACGTCACTATCATACAACGTCAAAATACGGGAAAACAACGTCAACACTGTACTGCGTAATCACGGACATGTAGACAAAGTCACAGTCACAACACAGGGGATATAATATTCCAAAATAAATAATACTGTGCAGGAACTTCTATTTCATGACACAAATACTTCTGTTTATTTCATCACAATTCATAGCATAAAATGAAGTCTTCTATATATAGCTTGGATCAGTTTCCTAGAAATATATATCATGTATACAATGAATTACTTCAATACAAGAGGGAAATAATAACAAGGAATTATTTGAATCTGGAATAATTTTGATTTCTGGAAAATTGATAAATGTATGATGAAAACTAACCCAACCAAAAAGGGTCAGCCATGCGTGCATGACTAAGGTTAATTTTACTTTCACTGATATTTCAGTATGAACAAACTAAACATGCATGGGTAACCCTCCTAAATTGGGTTAGATTTCATCATGCATTTCTTTTCAATTTTCCAGAACTCAAAATTATTCCAGATTCAACATGTTCAAATTATTCTTTGTTTAATCATTCCATTTCCATACATGTATATGGATGCTTTTGCTTAATATTTGTTAAATATTCCCTTCAAAGGTGGTGTACAGTAAATTAGGATATCAGGCTAATCAGATATCTTTATATAGCACTTTGAGTTTTTTATTTCAAAAAGTACTGAGTTTTGTAAATTGTGGCCTTTTTGAAAGAACAATCTTTGGATTTGCCAAAAATCAATCACAGAGATCGCACTTGGCTTTGCAAAATGCAATTTCTTATTTAATTTTTTGTATCATAATTTTTCAGTGATGCATTACAGTATTTGATTTTTTTAGGAAAATACATCACATAAGCAAAGTTTTGGATGAAAATGTGAAGAAGCTGAAATCTGACAAAATTCCAAAGGAATTCCGACCTAGGTAAGTGGTATGATTTGTAGTGAATACTTCATCAGTACATGTAAACTTAAAATGAGTTAGCCAAACATCTGGGGTTTAGTTGAAGTTGACCAATCAATAAGTGAAGATAGGAATCCTAAAGGTAGATCTTAGCTGATTTGGTTTTGTACACCACTGATTTATTAATGGTTGCGTAATGTCAGTTGCAAATATTTCATGTATCTTCAGGATGCCAGAGAATAAACAATATATTAACCAGCAGTATGTGAAATGTAGGAGGAGGGGGTTACCAGGAGAAGGAGTGGACAAATCTGACAACCACTGTAATAGATGGGTGTACTGGATACGATATGCTACCAAACTTGCACAGACCTTTTTACAGGAAGTGAAGTTGTGTACTTCCTATTTTATTTTTGGATAACATTGATGTCTGGGTTTCTCAAAGCCAAACAGAGATTTGGTCTACTTTTTTTGTTACTCTGTCAGAAAAATTCAATACAAAATCTCATATGCCGGAAATAAACAAACTTGACAGATTTACTTGTCGTTATGTGTACTTGTACACGTTTATATTTATTTTTGATCAAATTATTTTTTTTTTAAATTTGCTTTCTTCTGTTACTTTGATATAGAAATGTGGGATACCTCTGTTAATGTGTCAAAATAACAAAAAATATCTGTGTTACTAAGTTCTTATACAGTGTATCTTTTGTTGTAGAATTGATGGTCCTTCAGTAGGTTGGAAGACATTTTTTAGACAACAGGAAGCTTTCAGCTTTGCCAGAAGAAAATCCTCGGTATGTTTTATGGTTTTATGACAACTTAAGCTATACCCTTTGTACATTCAAAATAAATGAATAAGAAATACTTTTCTGTATGCCTGTAGCTGTCTGATCTCTACAATACATAGCTATCCATATTTACGGAAAACAACATTCTCTCCAGATTACCATTAGTTTTAATGCAATTTGCAAAAATGGTCACATATAATCTGCTGTCATCACTTGTGTATGTATTTGTGATGTTTGTTAGTGACTTTTTTCCAAACACTCTAGTTATCTCTTGTAATCATGGTAATATTACCAATACAAATAAAATCTATACATATTATCCTGAAATATGTTTTAATTTGTAGAAATTGATATGAAACCCAATTCATTGAATAAGTAGGATTATTTTTTTTAGATTGACAATATGTGGAGACCAACAATTTTGTCAAAGATTTATTACGAAATGTGCAAAGAAAAACTCTAGGGTAGACATTTTGACTTTTTGTGGCAAAACAAATAGGGTTTTTAGGGATACCTTCAACACAAAATTTATTTTTGAGCTTTAATTGCAGTGAAAAAAGTTGACCTCTGTATGTTTGGTTAAAAGTTCAAAACAAAACTTTAAACATTCTATACTATCTTCTTATTAGGTAAAATGTTTTTGGAAACTTATCAGTGTTTTATCTACTAATGTCATATCATATATGTTTCATATTATTTTGCAAGAAATTCTATGGTTTTGTTTCTGTGAGAGTCCCATTTAGTAAAGAGGATAATGGTATACATATTTTATATTTCAGGATCTTCATGTATTTTCCTTTGAGAGTGAGAGTTTAGGACCAGAAACTGGACAGAGGATGTTTTTAGTGGCATCTTATCCTGTATTCTGGCATTATTATAGGTACATTATTAGTTAGAATCTTCCCCTGTATGTATATGTATGTGCTATGTGGATGCAGTAGAATGTGTCCACTATGCACAGGTGTATGCACGTATATTTTACAGTTATATGGGTTTCTTGCAATTGATTTATATTTTACAGTTGTATGGTTTTCTTGCCATTGATTCAGTTATCTCACTGGCAATCATACCACAATTCTTTATTTTTATATTTTACTTGTGTGTTTTCACACTATAAATTTTAGATACTGTGGATTCATTATTATTTGTTCGATACCAATTTTTGTGGTTATAGGTGAATCAAAAAAGATGTTCAACATATTACAAATTTTCAATAGGCTTGTATGCAGACTTTGGCAAAACAACAAAATTAAATATCCATGAAAATGCAATTTTTCCTCAATCCACAAAAATTGGTACCCACGAAAATAAATGAATCCACAGTATTGTATCATTTACAGCTACAAAATATCTGTTATTTTTTATTTGATTAAATTCACTTTTTCTTAGATGAAAAGAAAATATTTTTTATTACCTTTCCATTTCTGAAATAGATGGTTTAATATAAAAAGGACATTACACATTTGCAATAAGTGAGGTAAGTAAGTATGATATAGAATAACTTTTTATTAAGGGGTGGTATGGTTTCTTTACCAGATATGTGCAGTTTATTTCTTGATTTGGCTTGTGTGTGAAGTTAGTTTCTTACCATATGATATTGCTTTAGAAAATTATGATGTGTTATTAAAATAAATTTCTTACCATACCATATGGATAAAACAAAATATGTTGACCTTTTTCAGGCAGTTAGATCAACAAAAGAAGACACATTATGAATTAATACCAGAGGGTATGTATTATAGACATCATTTTGGTAGTTCTAATAAAAAACATACATAAGACCCTGGGAAGACAAAAATGGTGCATTGAATGATTGCCAGGTGTACATGTCTGTCTGGCCAAGTTTATCTGACCATGACCTCATTTTCATGGTTAATTGGTCAATGTTTAGTTTTTTTCATAGCGAGGTCTGTTTCTCATGTACTATAAACATTAGGTCAACTTTATTTGGTATATGAAATAGTTGTATTGTTTTCGTGGTTAAGTCCCTTTTTCAGATACTGAAAGCAATAGGTTAACTATATTTGGTGTATGGAATGATTGCGAGGTGAAAATGTCTGGCTGAGTTGATTTGACCTAATTTTCATGTTTCCTCGGTTAAGTTTTCATAGTAAATTCTGTTTCTCAGGTACTGTACTATAAGCATTAAGTTAACTATATTTGGTGTATGAAATTATTTTTAGGCTTACATGTCCATATGTCAGGGTTTATCTGACCTTTACCTTATTTACATGGATCATTGAAAATGTTAAGTTTATGTAATACTTGTGTTACCTTTTTCTCTCAGACTTTCAACAGAAATTCAATTACCATCAGTAAAGCAGTTGATACATTTCAGTGTGTGCACTGTTGTTTTCTTTTGTAGATTAAACACTTACTTTTCAGGATGATAGTGATATTTGTTGTCTTTCAGGATCAGTATGTAAGCTCTATTTTGATTTAGAGTTCCCCAAAGAAAACAATAGAAATTGTGATGGAAGTACAATGACAGATATTTTTATAAAGGTAATAATCTTCAGCCTTAATTAGCAAGATCTCATATAAAACTGGGAATGCAGTGTTTCCTTTGTTTGTTCGTGATATAAAATGTTTATTTGATACATAAACTGCAGGTCCCTGAATTTCTAATATTCAAATGTTAATGAAACATAACTAAAAGGAGGTGTGGCATATGCTTGGATCAGACAATAACCAAGAAACATAAAAAACCAAACAATTTGAAAACAATTTTCAAAGTTTTGCCTTTTGATATTTAGAGGTTTAGAGATTGATCTCATCTGCTAAGTGGAGTATAAGTCCACATGCCTATAATGGTAATAAAAGCACATGGTAAACTTGAGACAAATCTGTGGAAATAAATAATGAATTAATATATATTGTGTTTCACAGTAATTAATGGTGTTCAACTCTGAGAGGTATGTAGCTGGCCTGTTGCAAGGCTAAATTTCAGTCCCTATCCAATGTATCCTCATTTTCTAGCTGCATTCCAAATTTCCTGCCCTTCATCCTGGTCAACTCACTATAACATGACCTACCAGTACCTATTGTATTAATTGTTATTAAAGTCCTCGTCTTGAATATGCACAGATATTTGCCTTTGGATGTTAAGCAAACAACAATTAATCATTATTGGTGATACAAAAGAATATAAAATAAAACCAACAATTTCAGCAGAATTTAGGTATTAAATCATAGATGATCAAGTCAAGGTGATGAGGTCCATAGTTACTCGAGGACAGTTACATGACAGGTTAATAAGTCAAGTTGGTGAGGTCCATAGCTACTCAAGGACAGTTACATGACAGGTCTGTAAGTCAAGTTGGTGAGGACCGTAGTTACTCAAGGACAGTTACATGACAGGTTAATAAGTCAAGTTGGTAAGGTCCATAGTTACTCAAGGACAGTTACATGACAGGTTAATAAGTCAAGTTGGTGAGGTCCATAGCTACTCAAGGACAGTTACATGACAGGTCAGTAAGTCAAGTTGGTGAGGTCCATAATTACTAGAGGACAGTTACATGACAGGTTAATAAGTCAAGTTGGTAAGGTCCATAGTTACTCAAGGACGGTTACATGACAGGTTAATAAGTCAAGTTGGTAAGGTCCATAGTTACTCAAGGACAGTTAAAGATATCATGGACCCAAACAAAAACAGCAATAAATAGAACTGTCCAAATGATATTAAAATAAATATTAATAATAAGAAAAAATTTCTAGGCTTTTCAACACGGAAATAGATATTTCATTCCCAGGTTTCAACTAGAATTGATTGGTGTATTTAGAGAAACAATACCATTCTCTACATGAGAGGTATGAAACTTTTCAAATGATTTAGTAATGCGAGTTCTAATTATTGCAATCGTCAACTAGTCACATCAGTAAAATCCTCGCAATAATTTCTGAATTTACAGTATTTGGATAATATTGCTATGAACCTAACTTTCCTCAAATGGAAATTATAAAGTGCTCTCCATTCATTCAATTCTGTAAAGCATTAACTTCTAGAAGTTATGTAAATATGTTATTTTCCAGTATGTTACAAGATGGATGGAAGAAATCTTCAAAGTCAAGTGTTCAAAAGAACATGTGCTAAGTCTGGATGCAAGGTAATATATTAAAAAAAAATATGGAAGTAAAAGATTTAACATTGGTTATCAAAATATATTTAGTACTTTTGAAAACTCATATTTATCAAAGAATTTGGAGTTTATTTTCTTGCTTATTTGAACATGACCTTTAAACTACTCAGGCCTATAATGACATGCACAACAGAAGGTTGCTGAAATTATTTAACATTGGAAACTTATAAGGATAATACATTCTTGTAACTTATCTGATTGTATTTTGTAAAAACAAGGCTGTCATAGAATTTTTCACGAAGCTGATTATCTCGTGTCATAATTAAACAAGTTATGCGATAATGAAACCTTTTTTTTCAGCACAGAAAAGAAGTTCAGTAGACATTTGATTTTTCAATTGAAGAAAACTGCATTTCAAGATAATATTCATGCTGGTAGGTTTTAACCACTAGTTGTATTATTTAACAGAGGATTGCAAAAACTGTTAGCATTTATATCCACTTATCGTGGTAACATTTGTATATTTTGTTACATACGTTTCAAACCTTGTGTAAAAAGATGTGACACTTTAATGGTCCTGAGACACTACCAATGATTGTGTTGTTAGGTTCAAGTGTCATTAGACAAGAGTAATGTTTCACTCCTTATTTTCAAATTACATCATTTGAATATAAAGATAGTATACCATTATTGATTTAATGTCTTATATGTTCAGGTATAAAACAGAAAAATGGGAGTTAAACAATCAAAATCACACTACAAATAAGAGGGAGAACAAATACGCATCTAGTGTAACCTCCTTCAATCAACCATCACACAAAGTCCTATCTTGTAAGTGCCATACCCAGGAACATTTCAATTGGTGATATGTCAGTTTCACATTAGTGGATATGTTGGTTATATGACAGAGTTAAAATGACACCAGGGAGTAAAACTGAGGCTATAACAATCAAACAATTCATGATGATAACCAAAGAACTTGTGTATTGATAAATTCAGTCGTTTTTCCTCCTTACATTGCTACTGCTATAGAGTTAAAAGGATACTCTTAGTTTGTAAAATCACCATGATTAAAACGATTGCCAGCATAACATATCACTTGAAAGTAGACCTTTTTGTCTATGTACATGTAGTAAACTTAGGGAAGCATGTTTTTTGCACAAACCAATATCACACTTTTAAGTAAACATGTTTATACAATAGTTTTGTAGTTGATGAAGTTTTAAATTTGACACAAACTTTGAAAGAAAAGATATTTTTCAGGAAATTTTGTGAAGTTCATATTACAGAAATTGAAGGCAGAAATAAACAAATTGAAACAAAATTTGTCTGATGTATTAGACTTTGATGAGACATCATTCATCTCTAAATCTGACAATTCCTCTGATGAACAAACAGTACCATGTGGGAATAGATTAGATAGTCCGAGACATTCTCAGGAACAGGATAAAAATGATCATAAAGCTTCTAAAGTTATGGACAGATTTACTGAGGAAGAACTTCTATCAATGGTTGTTAGAAACAAAAATAATGAAGAAACTTTATTCTGTGATCAAGGTATGCAAGGCAAATTTGGAAACCTCTACAACTTTTTTTTCAATCAAACAAATTTTTTAGAGTGTCAGTGGTAATGAGTATTCCATAATCATGTTTTTTTTCCTTCAGTATTTTAATTTATGTAGGCCTTTTTATGCCTCTGCCTGTAGGCGGAGAGGACATTCAGTTTACCCTTGTACGTCCCTAAATTGATTTCTGTTCTCTAAGTTTTGCCTCAACCAATATTATGAAACTTTTACACAATGCTTATTACCACCATACACAGATCAAATTCAAATTTGAGTGGCGTCACTTTTTCTGTTCTCAAGTTATGTCCCTTTATAAATGGAAAAATTGCTGAATTTGCAGTTCCGCACTCTTAACTTTACTTTACCACAACCAATTGTGCTGAAACTTATACACAATGCTTACTACCACCAAACACAGGTCAAGTTACGATATGGGTGGGGTCACTTTTACTGTTTTTGAGTTATGTATGTATTATCTTTAATTTTGCATATTTTGTGGGTTTTTTCAGGTGTCTACACCAAAAACCGTAATTTCAGATTATTTCAGTCAAGAAAATTTGGGAAGAGTAATCCTCTAGTCATTAGTGAAGACAATCTGTACATACCGCCCAAAGATGAAGTAATGTCTTATGAACATCTTATATTTAATGATTCACTCATTGCTAACATTGAGTAAGTAATCTTCAAGAAACTTTTGATTTAAGGTGGTACATAACACTACAGGGATATAACTCTGTAAAAATCAGCTGAACGTTTTAATCACATTCTATTGTTAAGGAAATATTAAGCTTCTCAATGATCAAAATTAGTATTGGTCAAACTGCTATGAATCCAATGAAATTTTTCCGATAAAGTGTGTGGTTCAAGTTTTTTGAAATTTTTATATTTTTTTTCAAAGGGTCAAAGTAAATATTTTGTCAAAATTTTTTGAAAATTAAACGAGCCAAATTAATTTTAGTCAAGGTGTTTGGTACCACCTTAAAATAGAAAAATGAAGGAAAAATAACTGAGTCTCTTCTGATGGATTTTTTTTATATATTTTCATAAAAAGTAAAACAGGGTGTATATAATATTGATAAACCACAAATTTAAGTCTCTTACAAAGTACTAATTTCCTATAGGCTTGTATGTAGAATTTGTCGAAACCACAAAGTACAAAGTCTAGTATCCACGAAAATGCTAATTTCATCAATCCATGAAAATTAATGTCCACAAAAATAAATTAATCCACAGTAATACAGGTATTTATTTGTTCTGATGCTGACACCATACTTCAATCAAATGATTAGATACCATATCTGAAGTTTGCTATATAGATCATCTGTACATTTATAAAGTAAGGACATTAATGAAGACACTGCTTCCTGGTCTTTTGATCAGTCATATGGTCTGTTCGGATGTGGATAACCTAAAAACAAAAACTCTTAGGTAAACTTATTTGCTGATATATCCAATACAAACTATACATGTATACCATTATTTGAATTGTAAATGACAGATGATTTTTTTTTCACATTCTCTATTGATATTACTTCTTTTAATTGATAAAGTTAACCTTTTTTTATCTCCTCTGTATGATTTTAATGGTGAAATACATTAAATGCAAACATTTGTGATGATGGTTGAAGTTTTGAAGGAAAATATTTAAGTATAGGGACATATAACATGATGGGTTTTAAAATAAAAGTATTGCCATTTAAAACTGTTCTAGGTATTCACCAGCACTGAGGATTCTAGAGTTTGATTTAGAATGTCAGTTTTCTAACAGATTATCCAATGATAATGTTCAGGCAAAAACTTGTGGAAAAGCTGAAGGTTAGTATGCAGGAATCTGAAGAATCTCATGCTTTACCAACTTATAATGTATTCAGAGTAACATATAAAAATAAGAAGCCCGTTTGATATATTAACAGTGTGAGCTTCTCATATCACACTTGCATCTGTCATCGGTTTATTATAAACTTTTTAAAACATCTCTGAAATCAAAAAGCCAATTTTAAGAAAAATCGGCAATAGTCATCTTTTGAATAGGTTGTTCCAGAATTATTTCTGAATATAGCAAAACCAACCAACATGGATATAGGTACTTTAAATAGAACATGGGGTACAATTTTTTGGCTTTTCTTGTCTGAATACTTTTTAACCGTGTTCCCTGACGGAATAATGGTTATTGATTTGGGGTTGTAAAGGGGATGGGCTTGCTTTCAGGCAGGTGGTGGGTGGCTCCTGGCATGCAATAACTTGTGTTCAACTGTCAACGAATGCTTTTCAAATTTGGATATGTTGATACTTCTGACAAATTGGAGGTCAGGTTGGATATTGATGATTTTCTTTTTTACTGTTCAGGAGTTGCAGTCCTTATTGATTTAGAAAGGGCACTTTATATCATTTCTGTGGAATAACTTAATAACCGTCCAACCTAAGATTTGAATAATAAATTTACCGTAGTATGTCTTAAAGTGTCTGGTACTAATTACTCTAAATTTTATTGCAGATATAGTAGAAGGATTTACTAAATCACCTTATCCAGAAATTGATGATTTTATATCGTCTACCTTAAAGACAAATAGTAACGCTGGTCGTATACGACATTGGACATACTTTAGCCAAGGAGAATTAATTGTGTACGACATTGTTGGTTATAGATACTGCCACAATATAGAAAGAGAACACAAAAGTAACAATATCATGTTAGTGTTTAAAAATCTTTTTAAAAGTGAAAACTTTTTTGAAAAATTAACTTCATTAATTGTACATGTATTTATATTAAATTCAGGAATATAAGTTGTTTAAAAATACTTCCATTGATAACCAAGATGAAGCATTAAAAGAAAAGCATTGAATATTTGAAAAATTCATCCAAAGGATAATTGAATGATTGATGGATGCTTAATGTCCAGCAGCATGATCAGGATGATGACAATATTTGTAACCTCCTAAGTATAAGACTGACACCCCAAGTCAGATTTTAAATATTCTACCTGGCAAGGTCACAGTCAGAAGGATGATATCGCACTTCCAACCATTATTCTGACTCCTTGCTGAGCATTGTTTGGTCTTTCTCCTAAATTTTGTGACCTCAGCAGAGAATTACCAAATACTAATTTTAAAATCTTTGGTTCCATCTGGCTTATATCTGAGCATGCATTTTTACATCAATCAATCATCAACTTCTTGTTTACTGAATACTTAAGAGAGGGTATCAGTAGTGAGCAATAGCTCATAGTTCAACTTTAAAGTTATATTTTTATCACTCTTAGTCATATAGTTTTTGTCTAGCCTGTGATGAAATTAATTAAATAATTTTTTTCTCTTAAGACTTTCAAAATAAATTTATTCACAATCAGTAAAGCAGTTGAGACATTTTGAGCGTGTGCACTCCTGTTATATTTTTTACTATTTTCTTACAGGTTGTTAGCAGACCTTAAACGAGGGGTTTATTACCAGAAGTGCCATGATCCAGAGTGTAAATCTATTAGCTACAAATCTCCAGGTAGGTATTTATAATACAGACAAAAATACCTAATCTCCAGATAGGTATACAAAATTCAGTCATAAAACAAACTCTGCAGGAAAGTGTTCATAATATTGACATAAAACCACACTTTTAACACTTTTTAATACCATATTATGATAACTTCTCAGTTAATAATGCCTTACATTTCATACCATGAAAGAAAGAAATAAAAAAAAAAAAAAAAAAAAACAATGTTGAAAAAACGAAATGCTATTTGACTAGGATATGATATGAAAAGATGGCAATTCACGAGTCGAATACAGTTGATTGATAGCAAGTTAAATAATGTATTGCAAGTGATGAAAGATTTTTTGTCAATTTTTTTTATATTTGCAAAATTGAAGTAATACTAATGTAAAATGTATTTATACAGATAAATCCATTCCTAAGGAAGCATTACCTTCATTTTACTTTGATGAAAGTTTTGATGAGTTTGATGAAGGTGTGGATGATATGGAAATTTTGAATGCTGCATTGGAAGTGGAAAGAACTATTGATGACAGAACAAATGAAAATATGGATAAAACCTGAAGTCTTATCACAATTACAATGACATACTTGTAGTGTTTTGATCATGTAGATCATTCAGGTTTAGATTTTAGTGTAATCAATGTATATAATCTTACCTGAATGTAAGTAAGTACTGACTGCCTCTAAATGTAATGGGAATGTATAGACACTTACATTAAGTCATATTAGATAGCTTGATTCCTGTACATACTTAAATATCGTAAGAGCTTTTCAAGTAACAACTTACTATCAGTAATTTCTTAAAGTATACTTGTTTCAGCCATAAATGAATAAAGCAAATACCATATATATCAATCTGCTTATGATCAGGTGTTATATGTTTGGTCCTACATGTATGCCTATTTGTATATATTACTATCATATATCATCAGACACCCTGACATTTTAATTTGAAAACTGACAAAACTGACTCATAATAACCTTATACCAATAAGAGTGCCCAAAACTCTTTGTTTCTTTTTCAGAATTAATACACCAATTAACTTGCATGCTTTGAAGTCAATGCAAAGGAAATGCTTTTTCAGCTCAGTTGGTTAGCACTTTGGGTCAGTAGTCATCCTTTGTCCACGTTGTAAATGTTTTAAAAAATTTTCTTCTGTGGCTTTACCTGACCATTTTCAACTAAACTTTGGCTGAATGATACTTATAGTATCTAGTATAAAGTTTTTTTGTTTTTATTCCTGTCTATCAACAAACATGGACATCATGGCTAAAAATAAAACATAAGGTGGAAATGCTTTATTGTCTTATTTCTTGAAAACTATACGATCCGATCCCCCCTCCATCTAGTGACAAATAGAAGTCACACCCACTCCATCTACATCATTTTTTACCTATGGCACTTGAACTCTCTTCAGTTTGGAGTTGTAAAAATAAATATCAAAATGGCATATTTTAACAGGTGAGCGATTCAGGCTCTAAGGAGACTCTTGTTTAAAAACTCAATGTAAAAATGAAAAAGTAGTTGTATACAAGACAATATCCCAAATATATAGAGTAAAAATATAACTGAAGCTCACTGCATGATTTACAAATGAGTGAAAACGTAAAAGATTACCTAGTGAAAAAGAGATTATAAACAATGTAGAAAATCTTATTATTTTGTTGAACTGACAAGACATTCGTGAATACTCATGTTTAATTTGCTGTTTTAATTGAAGAGGCTAAAACATGTAGAAAAAAAAGATAAAAGCAATACTAGGAGAATCTGACAGATTAAGGTTACTAAATATATATAAAATAAATATTTCATTGGAATGTTGGTACAATATGCTCTTCATTGATTTGTTATGATTTTGTTTTGTTAGTGAATGCTTTTGACAAAAGTTGCCAAAGACGAGAAATAATTGTTGCGTTAGAGGTATAGAAAGCACCATCTTCAATCATTAAAGAATGGGATTATATCAGTTTCTTTTGAAAGAATGATTGTTTTATGATATTTATTTATTTCATTTGGATTGAAATATACCAACAGTTACAGTTTTCTGCATTTATTGGCTCTAACCAGCAGAAATTTCAATGCTTTTTAACTCTTGATTCAGCATTTGTCAATTAGAATTAAAGAAAATGTATTACAAATTCTGTAAAAAATATCTAGGATTTTGAAAAAAACAAACCCTTCTTCTCAGTCATTAAAATAATTGAATACTAGGCAGATCCCCCAACATATGATATCAAACTCAGAAAATGCACCTTACTTTAGGATATTAGTATTAAAAATGACAAAAACACATGTACAAGTTAATCAAGCAGTAATAAATAGATGGGATAGTTTATTGTCTCGCCTGTGACGAAAGTCGCAATATGCGAGACGTAGGTATTACTATCCGGTGGCGGCGGCAGCGTAAACTATTTGTATAAAGCTTTTATATTTCAGAAGATAGATCTGAATGCTTCATATCTTGTATGCAGGTACCTTATGTTACAAAGTTTCCGTCAATCATATATATATATCCTTGACCTCATTTTCATGGTTCAGCGACTGCTTGAAAAAAAAATTTATCTTTTTTTAAGTACTATAAGCAATAGGTCAACTATATTTGGTGTATGGAAAGTCTGGAAGGTATCATCTGACCTTGACCTCATTTTTATGGTTCAATGGTCAATGTTAAGTTTTTGTGTTTTGGTCTGTTTTTCAAATACTAAATACAATAGGTCATCTATATTTGGTGTATGGAATAATTGTAAGGTGCACATGTCTGTCTGGCAGGTATCATCTGACTTTGACCTCATATTTATGGTTCATTGGTCAATGTTAAGTTTTTGTGTTTTGGTCCGCTTTTCAATTAGCATACAAAATAGGTCAACTATATTTGATGTATAAAAAAAATTGTAAGGTGTATATGTCTGTCTGACACAATTTATCTGACCTTGACCTCATTGTCATAGATTTTTAAAAATGTCAAGTTTCTGTAATGCTTTTAGTAAAACCTTGATTTTTTTAAAGATTTTCAACAAAAAATCAATGGTCAGTAAAGCAGGCGAGACATTTCAGTGTGTGCACTCTTGTACTATAATACATCTCTCCCCTTCACCTATAGAAGCCACACTGGCAAAGGAAAGTTTATTTTATTAGGCCAAAGGTGTTCACGGCAAATAAGAATATCAAAATATATTCAGTCGATACATTTTACAATTTATGAATTGAGGGAATGGAGCAGTACCCCTCTCTCCCAGGAAAAAAAACTTTGAAGTACTAGAAGAGTCTTACCATGGCAATTTAAAATATATATGGTTGAGGGGTGGTAATTTGAACAGTTGTAGATATTTAAACAATTTATTATGTGAGAGGAGCAGGGAATAAACCCTATTGTTTATTGGAAAAGTTTCATTGTGTCATTTCAGAATATATATATATATATATATATATATATACAAGTCTAAATTGAAAACAAAGTTCAAACCTATGGTTGCGTTGGATAAAAACCGCAATTTTTATAAGTGTGCATGAAAAACAAATTTCTTGTTAGAGGGGTCTAAATACAGCACAAACAACATTTTCCAAAAGACCAAAAAAGTGAAAAAGTATATTTTAACAAAACGCATTTGACTAACAGGTCGAACAACAAATGTTCTTAAACCCTGCTGACTGCCATTGGCGATTGCCAAATAAACGGATCACCGATGTAATAAATGGATCTTAATTATAAATTTAATACTAGATAGAAAATAATAAACTCGCGGAAAAGATGGTATACCGCAAACATATATATATATGGATTTATGGTTGGGGATAGGAACAGTTTTTAATAACCCAAAGGGTCAAGACTTATAGTGCATTGTAAGGTATTGTCATGATAGGTAAATATATATATATATAGCTTAGGGTGAGGATCTGAAAGGTTACAATAAATTTAACAACTAACAATATATGAAGGCACAACCCTAAGTCACAAAACTGATTGTGCAGTGTAGGGTCTTTTCATGGTTATGTGGAATATATATGGTATTGGGACGGGATCTGAATTGATTTCAACATATTTAAAGAATAAGGATATGAAGGGGATGGGTAATGCCCCTAGACAACACCTGTGGTGCACTAGGAATGTCTTATTATGGCAATTAATAATATATATGGTTTAGGGGTTTGGTCTGAATAATTTTCTAGATATACAGTTAAGATTTATTTCATCATGGAGGAGGTGGGCTATGAACCCTAGGTGGCAAACCCCAAGATGCACTACAAATAGAAAGAACATGTTTTCTAACTGACAACCTCTTTAGCACACGCACTTGTCTCTGAAAAAAAATCGTGTTATATTAAGAGATATAGGATTTTTTCAGAGACAAGTGCATGTGCTCTTTAGTATGAGTTTTACTGCCGGACGGTAGAAGTGCGGTGATCATATTTTTATAACCCAGCCAATCCTTAGGGTATTAATTTAGAAAGCTGGTTTTAAGTCCAAGTTCGTCTGCATGATAAATATACCACGTTTCCAGGGACAAGAATATCTATCAGAACACGTTCAAACTGCTTTAGTTGAAAACTACATTAAAAATATTAATCATAAAAGCGTGACCTGTACAATGCCAACAAGCTATGACAACTTCCCCATGATTTGTTTTACAACAGGATTATCTTCAGACAATCTTTGAATCTTTGCGAAAAAAATTACAGTATTATAAAACGAGGAGAGGTGGAGAGGATGCCAATAAGGTAATTTTCCTTCAGAGTTCAAATGACGTGGATTTAATCAATAATAGGTCACCATACTGCTTTTAACAATGACATTTCGCCTTTTCGCGTTTTCTCCTTTCACTTTGCAAACGCGAAATCGAGAAATAGGGAAATCGAGAAAGCGAAAACGCGAAATCTATTTCCCGTTTTCGCGTTTTCGCTTTCTCGATTTCTCGATTTCTCTATTTCCCGATTTCTCGATTTCGCGTGAAAGTGAAAGGAGAAAACGCGAAATGGCCGCATCCGGTCACCATTATATAGTGAGGTGTAAAAGGACACACAATTAATATATAACCACAACCACTGAATAACAGACTGCTGACTTGGGAAAGCTCAACCTTCCCTTAACCGGTGAAAGTGGTGTAACAGGAAAACATAGGAACAAACTAAAAATCTATTAGAAATTGCTGGACTCGTCAGATTGTCCCGATGCACAAAAAAAAACCAAACAAAGACAAAAGATACCAAGAACCGATCTACGAGTACTCTTAGTAAGTTACTGAAAGGAATGTCAAAACACAACTAAAAGATGAACCATGTTATCCCTGACTAGAGTATCAATTAGTACACACCAAACGAATTTAGTTATAAACAGTCTGAGAAAAGCATGGCCTAGTTCAATGCCAAAATTTAGATATATAATGTCGACAGGATGTAGAACCATAAGTTTTCATTTCTATATAGTAAAACATACGGTAGTTAATGTTTTAACTTATTAAATAATTGTCAAACACAATATAAAAATTGGTACCGATATCACAGCTGTCGAAGTGGATGGTATAAAGCAAGGATTTGTATAGTGATACAAATCCTTGTATTAAGTTATGAGGGAGTTGGATAAAAATAATATTAATGTTTCAGTACAAGTCTTCGGATATGCTTGCACCTTTCAAAAATAAGTAATAAGCATTCCTTGTTTATAAATGGTTTGAATTAATGAAATGCTGAATTCCCATCTCTTTATTGGAGAAATCCCAGTTAATTCCTTTTTAGTCGGACATAACTTATAAGTTTTATATTTTCTCTGTTATTCTGTCTTAATCTTTACTGAGGAGATATTACAAAAAGTTAAACCCCACTTGGCGTCAACCTATTCACTTACAGTGATTTCGGTTTCTAGAATCAACACTTCTTTAATCTTTCACTGAAATCAAGTTAATTCATCTTTAATTCAAAACCGTACACTAATTGTCTTCTTCAAACAGGGTTTTTGGCTTTGGATTATAGCTTTCAGTAACTGCGGGTACTCTTAGGGGACGACCATTTGATATTCTGGGGGGGGGGGGGGGGGGGGCAGGAGGATTTGTTTTGGATCAGTTATTTATTTTTGTAAACTAAGAGGACAGATTATCTATTTTCTGCACTATTGAAGCAAGATTTTTCATTTTCATTAAAGCAAGGGACTGATTATTTATTTTCACTATATTTGTAATATTCGAAAACATACAATTTTTAAATTATTTGTTTATTATAAATAATTCATGTATAGTCAAGTCATTATGTAACATTTAATTAGAATTAATTATTATCCTCTGCAGAAATGAATCTTCTATATTC